GAGGTGGAGGTGGAGGTGGAGGTGGAGGTGGAGGTGGAGGTGGAGGTGGAGGTGGAGGCGGAGGCAGTCGTAGTAGTAGTAGTAATAGTAGTAGTAGTAGTAGTAGTAGTAGAAGAAAAAGAAGAAGAAGTCCGTTGCTCTCCCTCGTCCCACTGCAACCAAAGATAAGTCTCCCTTCTGGGGGCTCGGCACGGGTCCCCGGGCGTGTAAGGCGGCCCTGGAGAGGAGTAAAGTTAAGGTTGCAGGGTTGGGGTTTAGGGGTTAGGCTTTAACATTTGCGGCTTCGGTAGGGGATGTTGGGGTGTAGGGCTCAGGGCTTCAGAGTCGGTTGCTCTGGATTTTGGGTTGGCTCTTTTCAATCCGCCACCGAAAATTAGGGAAGCCGTGGTGGCCGCATCAAATGAAAGCATACCCCTTTGAGGCCAGGGTTTCGGGCATAGGTCTGTCAATCGAGTTGTAGGATGTGAGGCCTTTAAGGATGACTGACTGCAGACCTTTGACATTTATGTGTCTTGCGGCTTTTCTGCTCTAGTTTCTTCACAAGTTCGAGAAGGTGCAAGGACTGACGGCCTGCAAGCTGGAAAGCAACCCAAACAGCTCCCATCCTCTCCAAACGCCACAGCCAAGCTTGAAAATGTCATGCGAGTAATCTAAACAGCCACCACATCTTCAAAAGAAGGACCCCATGAAAATCCCAGCCTGTGCGCGTGAAACCTACCTAAGCCCTGCCACACATCACTTCAGACTCCTAAACCACCGAACCGCTACACCCATATGGGTAGTTCGTACTAGTTTAGGGGCCTACAAAAGGCACCCTAATCTAGAGTCTAGAGAACTACCCATAGAGTTCCAACGTATTCCCTAAGGAACCCCTTGAGCCCAACGCCCAACTAGTCGGAAGCCTCTAAGACAGCTCCCAACCCACGAACCCGACAGGGCGCTGAACTCCGCCTGCGCCACGGTCCCCCGGGCCACTCTTTGGGCCGATGCCGAGGCGGAGCGCGGGCGCAGGCCTGGCAGAAAGAGGATTTCGGGTTTCGGGTTCAGGTGTTCGGAATTTAGGGTTTTGGGTTTAGGGTTTAGGTTTTAGGGTTGAGGTTTTAGGTTTTAGGCTTTCGGGTTTAAGGGTCTAAACTTTAGGGCTCAGGGTTTAAGGCGTATAGGCTTTAGGATTCAAGAATTCGGGTTTCGGGTTCTGGGCTAAGGGTCTCCGATGAGAGTTTGGAGTTGCAGGGTCCCAAAAACCTTTTAGCGTTGGTTGTCTGGAAGGTTTCCTCTGGTTGTAGGGTTCACGGAGTGCGGGTGCCGGACTGCAGTTTCAAGTGCAGGGTACTGGGAATGGGGTTTGAGGGTCGAAGACGGCTTAAACTTTGGTCGGTGAAGTTGAGGCTATGTTCGTCACATTTGATGTTGAAAGGGGTTGCTGCTTGGTGTTCCGCACATCGCGCGGCAATTTGAAAACCACCCGACATAGCGAAAGCAATGCTGGAGTGTCGGGATAAAGATCTTGAAGGGCTTTTGGGGTTTCGAACCCCCGTGAGCCGGTAGGGTGGGGAGAGTATCTGCTGCTTTCCTTGCAGGTACATGGCACTTCCTTACAATGTGCACGTCAGCGGGGTGGACGCAGGGTCCGGAGGTCTGAAGGCAACAGCCTTCGTGTTCCCATTGCTTCTTTGCTTCTGCTTCTTCTGAATCTGAATCTGAATGATGTTCATATGCGTCGCTTCTGGTAAAACACGGCCGTTTGCAGTACATTGCGACCCCACACATGAAGAATTTTGCAATCCGGTGCTAAGTACAGTCTCCCGCGCAGAAAGCCTTGCACCTGCGATCAGCCTTGCGGCCCTTAACCAAAGTGGGAAGATTCAAAGCCGCACGCCTGCTTCTGGAGCCACCTCAGAAATCCACAGCCAGTCATCCCCGCAAGAGCATCATGTTATGAAGCACTCATGATGAAGATGACACAAGGGAAGGATCATGATGAAAGTACTGTTGGTACCGGCGGAAAACTGCAAGACTAGCAAGAAAACCGGAACACTTGAGTGCCAACTAACTTTCTGGGCGAGACGAAGAAGAGTGAAGACAATAAAGACACAACTCTGCAAGACCAACGCCCAAAAACACCACGCGAGTAACAAGGAGAGGTGATGGTAAGGGTCGTCGTAATCGCACTCGAGGTAGTAGCAGTCGTTTTCGTGGTCGTCGCGGTCGTCGGAGTAGTAGTACTAGTCGTGGCAGTAGCGGTAGTAGTAATAGTAGTAGTAGTAGTAGTAGCAGTAGTAGTAGTAGTAGTAGTAGTAGTAGTAGTAGTACTAGTAGTAGTAGTAGTAGTAGTAGTAGTAGTAGTAGTAGTCGTTGTGGTGGTGGTGGTGGTGG